ACAAGTTCCAATCTGAAACGCATTGCTATGGAAAGATGATAGTAGACTAATATATTTTTGCACGAAACTTTACATTATAGTTAAAAATTTAAGTTAATAGCGCGCCTTTGTTATCGTGTTTGTAAATTTCACTAGCGCAAACCCGCGCTACTCGAACCTTTTTGTAAGGATCCTTCATCAGGTGTTTTCCGCAAATGTGCACATGTTATGTCCGCCAGACAGCAAATCCAACCAGGAATCGATAACAGTAGGAATCCGGTCTCAAAAATCCCGAGTATGTTTTCTATAATTGTTACTTATTTCCCCTAAAAATGGAATATGACCTATACTTATTCCTTAATATGACTGGTTTTAGGGTTATTACGACAAAATACGGTTTTGAAAAACGACAGTTCTTCTGGTACGTCAAAAAGCTTTGCTTAAATTGGTGTCTGGTCGCATGCTCAGTGTCATAAATGTGCTGCATCACAGTCATGTTCGTTTTTTACGGCCTACAATCAGTGGCTAAGCATCTTCAGGCTGATCGCATTGCTATCATACTTCTTTTTGATTGAAAAACTATGCGATCGTTAGTGTGATAGGATTACTACCTGCAACTATGCAGTAGTCCCGGTGGAGCTCTTGTTAACCCTGTTTTCATGTGATTAGTTTTAGCAAGGACTCATTAGGAGTGTGCTCAGGTCATTGACCTGAAAAATCGAGAAGTTAGTTTTACTTTCCGATATGGGTACCATTGCTATTAATTTCCAGGTGTAAGGTTGGACCATATCTGCTTGGTCGGATTAAAATTAGTAGGACTTTGAAACTGTGTAGATATGATAAATGTTCGACATGGGTGCATAATTGGTTGAAGTAGTTAGTCCCTCCTGCGCATTTACTCCTTGCTAGGTGAAGTGCTGCATTTCTGTAGGTAAGAATGTCTGACAATTCTGGACCCCAGGGATCAATGGAAAAGTCGGGTGCTGTGCCACCAGAGGGAGCCATAGGAGGTAAAGGCAACCACGAAAGGCGTCCGTCAGACGGCTCAGCGTCAGAATCCATTATTCCACCTGGTTTATACAATCTTGACCATCCCGGCAAGTCTTATTAGAGTTCTGCGTTCCGTTGTGCTCTTTTTTTCACCAGCAACGTCTCCTTCTCCACCTTGCGCACGATTACTTAGCCTTTCTCTCTGCTTTATAGTCAATGACCAAACTGTGTGGGTTGAGGCAGTGGATGCAGTCGTCGGCAACCATGTCCGAATTATGTATAAAAATGCAAAAGCCATCGGCAGTGGATCGTTTGGAATGGTGTTTGTTGCCCTTCTTAACGGTGAACAGGAGGTGGCTATTAAGAAGGTGCTCCAGGACAAGCGTTATAAGGTTATTCTTCATGCTGATTGATCTTCCATTCAGAATCGAGAACTGCAAATCCTGCGAGAACTTCGACATCCCAATATAGTGTCGCTCCTCTACTTCTTCTATTCTGTTGCCAATTCAGTAGGTCACATCTTGCACATGCTTTTTTTTGCTTTTTTTGCATTTATGGACATTTCACCAAAATGTATCCTTTAAAGGTAGCTGTATCTCAGGCACTTTTTGTTGCCCTATTAGCGTTATATTTTTCCATCTACCCGATTACTCACTTACCTACTTACTAAGTGAACTTAAAACCCTCTTGTCATAATGTTTTGCCAATTCGTTTATTTCATAGGTTAAAACCCTGTTAATAGTGACATAACAGTTTGTGCAGCTGAAGGCCAGCCACTCTTCTATAAAAGTAAGATCAATACCAGGATTATGAACATTTTAGTACTCGCGACTCACCCTTACCAAATATAATGTATTTTAAAATATTATAAAGTTGGACTTCTCTCAGAAGTGCTAGTTTCTGCGATTGTTATTAACGCCAACATTTGCGTGCTGTCATGCTTCATGTGCAAATTACAGAGCGTTGAACTCGTACCTTAAGGACACTGCTTACTTGAAGTTATTTTCTCATTGAGAGTTTAGACTATCAAAACCAGTCTTTATCCATACGTACGTACCCTTTCATACCCAAATTAAAACTAATACCCTCAAATCTTTAACACCAAAGGGTTCATGTAGGCAGACTTGCGGTTGCTGCAATTACCGGTTTCCCACCGACTCAATTTCCGTGGCAAGTTGTGCCCCGTTACGGCTCTGCATAGCCGCTCCCATTTTCTCTGTCTTTTGATTTCTTTCTTTCAATTATTTTACCGCGTCGTCATAATAGGTTTCTGTATTTGTACGCGAATATAATGTGGTGGGATTCCGGGCAGTGCGCAGGTTTTTGTTTTCCTTTATTGTGTGAAAGGCATATTTTATCTCAGTTCATTCACAGCCTTTTTAAATGTGGGTTGTTAAATGGCAGTATTGCTTCCACTTAGATCCCTAAGACAATTAAGTGTTTCTTTGACCACACTGTCGGCAAAAATATCTGCCTTCTGGACAAACGTGATGGGGATGTATGTCGGCCTTCAGTGTTACTCATTAATAACGGAAGGCCTTGGTGTTTTCTCAATCGCCGAAGTATATATTCTCAAATTCTGCAGTATATTCCAGTGTGGAACCCTTTCTCACCTTTCAAATCTCCTGTTCCCCTTGTTCAAAGGTTTGGCATCTTTAGGTCGGCTCCGCTGGAGATATGTTGCTTGTCGAACGTAAATGCGTTTCGAGGTCTCCATCTTCGGTAGTTAGAAAGTGTCTCGTAAATTTGATAGTCAACCCTGATGCGCTGGCGTTCCATTTCTCGCGTCTTCGCGCATTAGAAGGTCGGTTTTGAGGAAAACTGGTCGCGCATAGGTCTATTGACTTAACCGTTTCTGTTTCACCTGTCTCCCGCTATTGTGCGGTGTCGTCGCCGTCGAAATTCAAGTCTGATAAACGTTTTGCCAAGTCGGCTCTTCTCGGTTCTTTCTCCAAATATCTCATGTTAGGCTTACTAGATTAGAAAGGTTGAAACCCTCTGTTGATTTCAGGCAGTCAGCTCTACCCTTTTATTGGATTGAATGGCGAGCTTGCCTCAATGCTCTCTCTCGCTCTCTAAATAA